CCAAAATACAGTTTCAAATTAAATTGATTCAAATTCAAACCATTAAATTCAGTTACAATTTAATGAAATTTATTTTCTAACCAATGAATTCAGTTTCAAATTCTGCACATTCAGATTCAATCTGAACAATTCAGATTCACTTCCTGCTGACACAAGATTGATCCCGTACATTTCTCTCAGGTTGATCTACAACAGGTAAGATATTCACTGTTTATAACTTGRGCCTCTACATTTAAATATTTGAACTGACCCTCCTGAGACCAGAGCTTTTCTTTGGTGTGCGTTTTTAATTTCTAAGAGCTAATTAGGATAAAAACATCATGAAAACAAACATTTCTTTAACYATTAGTTCAAAACCTAAATGATTAAAAGTCAGACTCATTTTACACAGACAGGACAAAGACTCGGGTCTCAGGTTTTTAATAAAGTTCTCAACAAACTAAAGAACGGGTGACCTGGTCTCCACGTGTCCTCGTCCTCCTGATTGTTGGCAGGATCATTCCAGAGGAGAGGAACTTGGTTTGACTTTGGTTTTCTGTGTTTAATTAAAACAGGAAGAACAGAATCAAATCGCTGAGGGTTCGAGGCAACGCCACGACGAGAGGAGAAACTACAGGAAAAGATTATAAATCTACCGTCACGAGATGAAGCTCTTCTGTGAAAAGTCTCCAGAAATCCTCTGAAGCCAGAAATCCCTCCAACACCACGTCACAAGAATCAGTAAAGAACCGGAGAACAAACCAGATGTTTTAGAACCGTTAAAACTGCTTCTAAATCCTGACGGAGACCAAATAAATATCAAAGACAACAAAATAAAATCAACCGTCAGAAGCTCAGAAACAGCTTTGAACTGGAAATAAAGAAGGTCCAGGTCTGCAGGACCGCTCATGATGTCTCTCTTCCTCCACTTCCTGTCTGTCACCACTTGATGAAGACGAGCAAGGCCAGCACGGCGTAGCCCAGGATGAGGAAGAGCACCTTGAGGAGGCGGTCCTGTTTGTCCTCCAGCTCGCGGGACAGAATCTCGAAGAAGGTGACGAACAGGAAGGTGCCGGCGGCGAGCCCCTGCAGCAGCACCGATACCACGGCGCCAGCCAGCGTCTGCGCCGACTCGATGCCCATCCCCACCACGGCGCCCAGCGGGATCATCAGGCTGACCGTGACGCCCAGCTTGGCGGCGTCCTTCATGCCGAGCGACGCCTTGGTCACGCTGACCCCGAGGGCGACGGCGGCCAGCGTCTCGTGCACGGCCACGCCCAGGAACAGGCCTCTCAGCTTGGCGCTGTCCTCCTGCAGGCCCAGCGCCAGCCCCTCGAACACCGAGTGGGCCGACAGGGCCAGAACCAGGCCGGCCAGCCGCAGAGGCCCCGCCCCCGCCAGCTCGTTGGGACGGAAGTGTCCGTGGCGGTGTCCGTGGGTGTGGCCTCCATCAGAGGAGATGAAGGGCGTGTCGTACTCAGAGTCGCTGCCGACCTCCGAGCCGCCGGCGTTAAACGTCTCCAGGTCGATGAAGGACGGCTTCTCCTTCCTGAAGGTCAGGACGGCCTGCTCCACGAAGACCGTGAGGAAGAATCCCACCATCATCATCGTCTCCGCCAGAGGATAATCCCCGCTGACCTGCAGCTGCTTGAACACATCGCCAACCTGCAGAGGAGACATCGACATGTTAACAACATGTCAACAACCCGTCAACAACATGTTAACAACACGTCACAACATGTCATCAACACGCCAACAACCGGCAGAGGAGACATCGACATGTTAACAACATGTCAACAACCCGTCAACAACATGTTAACAACACGTCACAACATGTCATCAACACGCCAACAACCGGCAGAGGAGACATCGACATGTTAACAACATGTCAACAACCCGTCAACAACATGTTAACAACACGTCACAACATGTCATCAACACGCCAACAACCGGCAGAGGAGACATCGACATGTTAACAACATGTCAACAACCCGTCAACAACATGTTAACAACACGTCACAACATGTCATCAACACGCCAACAACCGGCAGAGGAGACATCGACATGTTAACAACATGTCAACAACCCGTCAACAACATGTTAACAACACGTCACAACATGTCATCAACACGCCAACAACCGGCAGAGGAGACATCGACATGTTAACAACATGTCAACAACCCGTCAACAACATGTTAACAACACGTCACAACATGTCATCAACACGCCAACAACCGGCAGAGGAGACATCGACATGTTAACAACATGTCAACAACCCGTCAACAACATGTTAACAACACGTCACAACATGTCATCAACACGCCAACAACCGTCAGAGGAGACATCAACATGTCAA